GACTTGATTTAGACTTGAGATATACCTTAAGATCATGTCCGGGCACCATTTCCCTCTTTTTAAATAAGCTTTTTGCAAGAATGATCCGCCACATGCTCTGCCGTGTACGCCCTGCTGCTGCAGCAACTGCATCTCGCCACGGCATCATTCAGCTTTGCGTTTCGGGAGCCGGTCGTAGAAGGTCCGCGGTTCGGTTCAAGCTGGGAAAGGGGATGCCCAGCTGAACCTCTCGGGTTTTGTGTACCATCTCAATTGGGACGAGCACCTTGTCCTCAGTTTGACCGACTCAGTTGTCTTAGTCTTCACGTGCGGTTGCTCGCGAAATATCGAGATGGGTTTCCATGCAGCATATGCATAGCTGACACCTGCCTGGCAGGTGAAATCCCAGCACTGATAAAATCTCGCGTGTAACCACTAAACGCCCTGCAGTAAGCCCTGTCAGCCAGCCCATGACCCCCAAACCCCAAAGCCTGAAAGCTTTGAAGTGACAAGGCCTGGCGCACATCGCTGCGAGCACTTGGGCCTCAACTTCCCAGGCAGCGGGTGCTTCTCAGACTCGCTACGCACCAGCCAGATGGGAGCTTTACGGGTCATGCAAGGTTCCTGTCGGGTTTCGAAGGGCTGATATTGGGCTTTCGGGGTGAAAACGATATGTAGAAGGTTGAGCAGTTGAGGTTTAGCATACGGCAGAGTCTCAGTCTTCGGTACGGTACGGTCACTATAGTGTTCTGGATTCATCGTTCAAGAGTGCCTTTTATTCCACATACCACCGCTGCTGTTCATGCTGCTGTAAGTATTGCCAATGCCGATTATCCCTACCACTTGGCACTACCACTGCCACTACCACTACGATGCCTCCTTTTTCTCCTCCTGCTCCTACTGCTACGGCTATTACTGTTACTACTACTACACTACCAGTACTACTAGTACTACTGGTACGACGACGACTACAACGAGGACTGCTACTACTAGGACTGCTTCTGCAGCTTCTACCGCCACAGCTGCCGCTACCGCTGCCAATATGGCTACGGCTACATGAACGGCCACAGCTAAGGCTGCTACTGCCACTACTACTACTACTACTACTACTACTACTACTACTACTACTACTACTACTACGACGACTACGACTACAACTACGACTACGACTACGACTACCACTACCACTTCCACTACCACTACCACTACCACTACCACTACCACTACCACTGCCACTACCACTACCACTACCACCACCACCACCACCACCACCACCACGACTACTATTACTACTACTACTACTACTACTACTACTGCTACTACTACTATACTACTACTACTACTACTACTACTACTACTACTACTACTACTACTACTACTACTACTGCTACTGCTACTGCTTCTACTACTACTGCTTCTACTACTACTACTACTACTACTACTACTACTACTACTACTACTACTACTACTCACTGGTACTACTACTACTACTACTACTACTACTACTACTACTACTACTACTACTACTACTACTACTACTACTACTACTACTACTACTACTACTACTCATGGTACTACTACTACTACTACTACTACTACTGCTACTACTACTGCTGCTAGTGCTACTGCCATCGCTAGGGCTGCGCCCACGGCTACGGCACGGTTACGGCATGGCTGCTGCTGGTACTAGTACTATTGGGGGGGTGCTACTACCACTACCACTGCTACTACGCTAACTACTTTTGTTTTCTTTTGCTATTGCTGTGGTTGCTTCCAGTCCCATCATCGCGAGTACTCGTTGCCATCGACGTCCCCAACGCTGGCCCTGTTCCGCCCGCCCACCGTGCAGACATCTCAACCGGAATACATTGGACAACATGTAGCATGGAAATGTATGGAGTATGCCGCTGATCGACCTTTCTCGGGCGAATGCTGCAGCCAGGCGAGCCTTCACGACAACCTCGTTGCCCGGCTGCTTCTCCACTTGCTGATTTGTTGTCTTGCGTTGCACAGTGTCATATTCCTGTGCCAGGATTGGTTTCCTCAGTGCTTTCAACTTGCACGATTAAACTTGCGCATAGACTCAGACTCTCGTGTTTCGTGCATGTTCGTGTGTTGCACTGTCGCCTCGGCACTAGGGGACATGTCTTGAGGGGTTGCGTATGAGATGATTGACATGTTGACAGCAGCTCGTAGAAGGTGCCCAGGCGTCAGGCTTGAACATCGGCCGATCAGTGACTAATTAGCGGCTTACCACGCAGCTCTGGGTTCTCAACCTCTCAAACGGTGAAATCTCACAACGGGTGCAGCCGTGGTGCGGCATGAGGAAGCGGCCTTTGGATTCATCTTTAAGGCGTTTTAAGGTGTGAACTCTGAAACCTAGATCCTGAGCCACTTAACCCCAATGCTTCACTTAACCATGCTTCGCATGCTGCACCCTGAACATTACCATCTGCTCTTTCTAAAGTTGGTTCAGTCTTCACGGAAAGTCTTTGCCCGACAATTCCAGATAAAAGTCAATGGGTTTCTTGCCTTGCACGAAGCACTTACGTCAAACCACGGAGGGCCGTGGGTGAAGCCTGGAGCACAAAGCCGAGCCACAACCAAATCTGCGCGAGCGACGGAGGCTAGAGGATCAGGAGGACCTGCCGATCCCTCAGGTGGGCCCCAGTCCGGTTGTGGAACGGCAAGGGGGGAGGTGGGCTCAACCGTTCAATCCAGGACATTAGCCCTCAACGCCGCTGGTCGATTTAGACGCCAGACCCCTGTTTTTGTTTGGTTTAGGGTCTTACGAGGTTTGGCATTATAGGTTTAGGGTTGAGGATTGTAAGGGTTCGGACAAGGGTTTGTAGCGTTTCGGGCGGTTTGAGTATTTATGCAGAGACCAGGTCATACATGTGAGGCTGTCGGGACGACGCATGTCAAGGTCTCGGGACTTCAGAATGTTTTGGATGCACCTAATCTGAAGCTGGTGTGAGCGCCGAATCTGAAGCAGCAAGGACGGAAGACGATGCATCATCCTGACAAGAAGTAATCTTTTTTGCAGGAGCCATCATCATGATGTCAGTAGAGTTTAAGCAGTACGGGTACATATTGAGTAAGATAGCAGATCTGGAGTCTCCAATGAGATGCGCCAGAGCCATTCTAGCACCCGTTTATAAGCATACGAAGCTGCATCTTTGCCACTAACCCCTAGAGCCCTACACACATCAAGTTTGAAACCTAGTTTAGTGGAGGAGCCCTTTGGGGTGTGGGGGGCATTGCAAGGCAGCGCAATTGGACCACCTGTAAAGTAGCAAACCCTTTGCTGAATTGTAGGAAATCCCGCTGCTGGGCTCAAGGGGTGTGGGATTGGCTCTAGGGGACATGGAGCCTCAATCCTGGCTGAGTTGGACCTCCTAGGTGCCGAATGAACCTCGGAGAATCAGGACTCTGACTCTAGGGGTCTCTCTACTTTCGTCTTTGCGAGGATGGAAGTTATGAATCTAGGATTGTTACACGTGCCCACGCATCCCTCCCTCGTTGCATCCCCGTGCCGAGCATCCCCGAAGTACCCACCTTGTACACCTACAGACACTGTACGACTACATCATGCATGGACACATCAGGATGTGCAAGTCTGCAATAAGGAAAAGATGCAAACAAGCAAGCAAGCAAGCAAGCAAGCATCCATTACAGACCGACGAACCGCCAGCCAGCCAGCCAGCCCGCCAGCCAGGCAGGTAGGCAGGCAGGCAAGCTGGCAAGCAAGCAAGCAAGCAACCATGCATGCACGCCGGCATACACACATGCAGACAGACGCAAGCACATACACACATACACACATGCATGCATGCTTGCATTTATACATATCTGCACACATGAAATCCATACAAGTAATACAAGCATGCGTACATACGTACACTGTACATAGCATAGCTACACAGATACGTAGATGCACACATGCCTCCGCGTATGCGTGCGTGCGTACGTACGTACATACATATTTACACAAGTTCATGCATAATTACATGATCACACATGCCCACATGCATGCATGTATACATCGCTGGGTGGATAGGTATGCTACTCTGTGCGCAAACCGTTCTACTCGTATCTATCTGTCTATCCATCCATCTAACTGTTTCTCTACAGAGAGATGTAATCTTTGATTCGGTTGTGATGTATTTCCTTTTTGCCACTTTGCCTTTCCGTCTATCTGCCTGCCTGTCTTTCTGTCTGTCTATCTATGTATCTATTTGTCTGTCATCTGTTCATCTATCTGCCTATCTGCGTATCTGTCTATGTATCTATCCGTCCACCCATCGATCCATGCATCCTCTCTCTCGCTCTTCGCTCTCTTGCTCTCTTGCTCTCTTGCTCTCTCGCTCTCCGTCTCCGTCTCTGTCTCTGTCTCTCTCTCTCTCTGTCTCTCTCTCTGTCTCTCGCTCTCTCTCTCTCTCTCTCGCTCTCTCTGCCTGCGTATCTCCGCACCTGTACAGATGCACGGGTATGCACGCGCGCACGCACACACACTTTTAACATAGCCTCTGGCTGCTTCTGCGCATTCGCACTTGCGGAGGCTAAAAGTCGTTTGAAACGCAATGCATGCCCCATGCGATATGGAGCCGCCTGCAGCCCTTTGCCCAGAGCCCTCTGCCCGCTTGAAAGGACATGGAACCAAGCAAACCCGATGCCAAAGCTTAGATGTCAAGATTCTATTTCCAAACGCCCTGCCATGAACCCTGCACCCTAGACGCCAACCATGCCTGGTTCTGGCGCGAGTGAGTGGTCAATAGACCCGAGCCCTAAGCTCTGGAACCAGCAAGGAACAACTACCATCTCTACGAGGAGACGCTTGGCTCAGGCGCTTAGTGTGGGGTTTGAGTTTGTGCTGTGAAAACACCCTGTGTCCAGTATCATCAGATTACCCAAACTTTCGAGGAGGCTTGGTGTAAAAGCGTTTAGTAGAGAGCAGCCCTAGTCAACAGTGAAGACTTGGCTTGAGATTCTGAGAATCGGACAGTAGTGCGAGTGTCGTGATGGGGGTGGTCAGCAATGCTCTGCTGCCGGGAAATCAAGTGACCAAGTTTTCGCCTCGAGAAGGATTCTCAAGCCCGAAACCCGGGTCCGGGATTCAGGCTACGAGCCACTAATTCAACCACATTACCTTCCCACGAACTCGCAAGCCTTTCACGCTCAAAAGGAGCGGCTCTACTTGTGACTCCCATCCACGCAACCTGAAACTCAGGATAGGCCACGGCAAGTTCTCGAAGGTTTACAAGGGCCGAAAGAAGTTCACCATCCGCTTTGTCGCCGTGAAGAGCTTCGAGAAGAGCCGAAGAAACATGCCTGTGCAGTTCGAGAGTTCAGTGTTTTCATGTCGGATGTTTGGTCGAATGCTTGTATCTAAGCCGGACAGCCCCAGATTGTATCCCAGGAGAAAAGGTGCTCACAGAGGCTGAGATCCTTTCGAAGCTTAGCCATCCGACACCCGGCAGAAGGGTGCTTGCGTGCTTCGAGTAAAGTTCAGCGCTGGCATGTTCGCACCAGAAGCCACAAGAGTAGTAGGAGTAGTAGTAGTAGTAGTAGTAGTAGTAGTAGTAGTAGTAGCAGTATTCTTCTTGCCATATTGTAGTGGCAGTTGCCCTGTCTTGCAAACATCCCGACAGTTTCGGATTGATTAAGCACCAAATTCTAAGTCTGATAAAGCCTGATCTTCCAGAGTTGTGAGTCATGATCGCAGGAATGTTCTTGGCTTCGTCAACTGGTACGAGACGCGGAATCACCTGTGGGCCATCTTCGAGTGCCTGCTTGCAGTTTGAGACTCGCTGGGGTTCACCCTGCCCTAAGCTGGGCTGTCGAGGCAGAACCAAGACACCAAATCTTAATCACCCCGGAGCCTAACCCTAGATGCAACATCTTTGATCTTACTGACGCCATGCCGCAAAGCACTATGCCCGGCAATCAACCCCATAAACAATCATGTAGACTAGAATAGCCGTGACGGAGACGCGCCCATCTAATTACCCATCTGTTTACCTGTCTGTCGGTCTGCCTGACTGCCGGCCCGCCTGCCTGCCTGTCTGTACCCACGAATCTATGCATATGCTTGTTTGTACACCTGTCTACAACGTACCGCTAACTGTTACAAACCATGCGATGAACCAGCTAATAGCCCGACTAAGCCGATACAGCCCGCGGTAGGGCGTTAAAATCATTGCCCTTTTGCACCGAACCAGAACCACAAGGTTTAGATCCACAGGGCTTTTTCGACAGAGTTGGCTTTTAAAGACGTTTACAGACTTTTAAAAACTTTCAAATGCAAGAAAAAAAAATCTAAAAACTTTTAGAAGACTTTAAAAGACTTTTAGAAACTTTTAGAAGACTTTTGCAAACTTTAAAAGACTTTTCAAAACTTTAAAAGGCTTTTAAAATATTTAAAAGACTTTTAAAAACATTAAAATACATTTAAAAGCTTTAAAAAGACTTTAAAAGACTTTTAAACGCTTTTAAAAGCTTTTACAAACTTTAAAAAGAATTTGAAAGACTTTTAAAGACTTTAAACAACTTTTAAAATTTTTAAAAACTTTAAAACAAAAAAAAAACTACATTTTTTAAGGTTTTTTCCAAGAAGACGAGGATGAAGAAGACCTGGCACAGGGTTTACAGTTTCAGGGTCTTTAGGGTTTGGGGTTAGAAGGCAGAGTGCCATAGTATTAGGGGTTTGAGGGTAATGAAAGGGTTAGGGTTAGAGTTTCAGGGTCTTTATTATATTTAAGAAGGCATGCTTAACAAGTCTGAGAACACACCCTGAAGTCAAGCCTGAAATGGATTCTATTATGCTTGACTCTTTTTTTAATCGTTTGGTCCTTTCCCTGCAGCCTTTGCAGTCTCCCGTTCCTGCTGCTCCTTAAGCCTCAAAGGATTGCTCCGAATCATGTTGTAATCGCAGCTTCACCCGAATCGCACTCCCCCAGACCTAAACCACGAGCACACCTAAAGTTAATTGGACTAGACTTGCATGCCCGACACGAAAACACTTCACAGCCCGAAGCCTTGACGAAATGCAGTAATACCGCTGAGGTACTGTGCCGGCGGAGACCTACTTCGACTGCTGAAGCAAGACGGCAGCCTCCCCGAGGACCAGGCGCAAAAAGTCGGGAGCCCCTCTTGTGGGGTGAGAAATTTTCTCGAAAGTTTTCTTTGCGGGTTCGTGCAGGGCTGTTTGGCCTTGCCTGGCTTCAGGGGCACTGTCCGTCCTTTTTCTGAAGGCCGACACAGTGAAGAGCACACCATGCAGGAGGAGATAAGCAGCTGTAAAGTCACGCCTGGGTAAGGAACTCTGAATGTGGACGGTGTTTGAAATCCAGTCCCGCTCCGCTCCACCCTGCAGCCAAAAACGCTTCTTGGGCTTCAAGGGCTTCGTATCATTTGGGGCTTCACCGGCTTACACCGCAGAGCTCGACCTCTTGGCTACAGCTCAGCATCAAATTCAATGCACTTCAATGCGCTGGTTCCTAGGAAGACTACTATTGATCACCATTGGTGGAGCAAACCGCTTGTACCAGGCTATCGAGGTTTGCCGGCGTCAGCCTCTGAGCCTGCGCATGCCCGTGCCCCCTGGTGCCCCCTGAAGCTTTCTGTGATCTAGGATCCAGATTCTAGGACACCCGGAACCCACGGTTGTAGGTGCGAGCCTTTGGTGGCGACATTTGTGCCGGCCTGCTGCACGTCCACTCGCGCGTCCCGGCTTCAGGGCAATGATGCATGCTTTTCACATCCTCCACGCTGTCCGCAAGTACTCGTGAAGGGTCGCACTATGTTGCAACATCTTTTAACTACTCGTGGGCCGTTCTTTACATGTGTTCTTGCCTCCAGGTGGGATCGTCTATGCTGACCTAAAGCCGGCGAACATTCTCTTCGATGAGAACGAGACGCTGAAGCTCTGTGATTTCGGACAAGTTCCTGGCCGGGATTTTGGATTTTGGGCAAACAGCGATTTGTGCGTATGATTTCGGGTTAACAGGTGTTCGGGTGTTCGGGTTGGGCATGCTCAGCAAGTCGGCAGCAGGACAGCTTTTGCAGGAGCGAACAGGGTAGACCGTGGACAGGCAAGCTTCAAAGCTTGCACATCCCAGGCTTCCCAGCTTGTGAAAGCTTTCCACGTTAATCGCCAAAGGGGTTCGTAAACCTGGTTTTGCGAGACCTTTGGATGCAGTTGATGATGCTGCTGCAGATCTTAGCCTTGAAGCCCCAAAGCCCTTCGAAACCAGGCACAGCGGGTCGAAGCCATCGAGCGCGCTCTGGCCGAAGGACGGCAGCCACCTCGGAAGGGCTCCCCGTGCCTCGGGCCTGGGAAGTGTGTGAAGTGAGGGCCAGGGCTTGCTGCGATCGGCGGTCAAGATTTTAAGAGGGCCTTTGTAGGGTTTAGGGGGCTTGGGGTTCCTGGGTGAGGATCAAGTCAAGGTCGGCAGGCTCCGCCGTCGTGCTGCAAGGACCCTCGTTCTCGCTCGCATGTTCGCTTTGGTGTTTTTCCTGGTCTTGCCTGGCAGCTGCTTTGTCCTCTATGGCTCCATGTCATTTAACTGTCCATGCCATGCAGTTCGCAACTCCAGGTCTCTTGCTGGACCCTTCTCTTGGTTTCCGGCCTAGAATCAACGTCGGAATCCGAAGTGCGATAGGCCACGCCCCCTGTCGCCGTTCTGGAACCTGCTGTTTTGAGCCGCAGTCGTTTACAAAGCCCAAAACGCGAGTCCAAATGTCATTGATCGTACGGCTCTATATAGACATGTGTGTCTATGTTGTTATCTCTTGAATCCCTGAATGTTCACATCATGAAAGATGTGTGCATGGCAGAAACTGGCCTTTAGGCCCCTGCTTCTTGGAGTGAAGTGAGCATGCTGCTAATTCCAGTGTTTCACGCCGACCTCGCACCGAGAACCTCGCCTGGCATGTCCGAGTTGTGAGAGCATAATGCCCTAAAGCAACCTCTCCCCCTTCACCGGACCCGCAAGGCAGTACATGGCGCCGGAACTCTTCCTCGAGGGCGGCATCCACTCTTTTGCCTCGGACCTGTGGCGCGGAGTCTCAGAAGCTTGAGCGTGGCCAGGGTTTAGGTTCCGAGCGGCTTCGGCCAGCTGCTTGGTATCGGACTGGCATCCTCAGATCTCCACAACATCCGAAGTGCGAAGCCTTTTACTTAGCTGCAGATCCAGAAGCACCCCCCACCCCCCGCAGCCGTGAGCCATAATGACAGACAAAATGAAAAGTGTGGTTGTTCAGCGACTCGTAGCCTGGGTAGTTGAAGCTGTTCGAGTGTTTGTCATAAGGTCCCTGGGCTGCGTTCTCTTCGAGCTGCTGACTGGCGCGCCGCCATTCAGCTCTGTGTCTTGTCCAAGTCGCTTTGGGACATCTTGCTACCTTCCTGCCCGTGTCTCTGAGTTTCTAAACCCTTACATTGAACATGCGCATGAATTCTGCATGTAACGACTTTGGGTGGTAGCAGGGTTCGATGTATTTTTCTCTCAGACGCAACTTTTTTCCTAGACGTAACTTGTGCGAGGAAGCCTCCCGTATTAGCGCTCGGAGACCGTACACGAAAAAGTACACGAACTAGTAATCAGTATTCAGTTTGCTGTTCAGATGTTGGGACCAAAGCTTTAAACTCCATTGTGCATGGGCCATCGGTGAAGTAAGTTCCGGTGTTCCTGCTCATGACTGAAGTAGAAGGAATCCGTGTAGAGCCTGTAGTCTACAAGTATGCATAGAGTCAACAGTAGAATTGAATCGAGAATTATTGTATATTATTGTATAGTATACTACTAGTATGCCAGATTATGCTAGAATCTAATTTGCTGCAGCACCCGAGATCAAACAGAGCCGCAGAATCTTGAGGTTCTTGTCGTAAAGCGCACTGATGTAGTACGTAGTTGACTCTAGATAGAGTGGACTGGGTGCCATGTGCTCACCTGTGGTGGCCCAACTGTTAGGCTTTGGGGTTAAGGCTTTTTGGGCTGGGGGATTGGGGCATTGGGTTGTGGGGATTTGGAAGTTTTGGGGTTTGGGGCTAGGGAATTGAAGTGACCAGCAACCTGTTCGCTGATCCAGGTTCTCTTGCTCTGCGGTTTCCCTTCTGTCACGAATCGCCATGGACAGATACGACACAGAAGAAGCCTACATGGTATACTCTTAGTGTACCATAGTAGACTATAGTGTACCATAGTAGACTATAGTCAAGGAACGTTGCCGACACTTGTGTTTGTGCGTGGTATTCTACAGTAAATATGCTCTTGTATTCGTTAGTATACTAGCCCATGCTACAGGAAAAAAGGAAGCTGCCTTCTGTGTGGCCGATGTTTCTGTCCGTGTCTGTCAGTCTGTCTGCCTGCCTGCTCTGCCTATACCAGCCATCGCCCAGAACATCAATGAACAACTCATTAACAATGATGCAGATTGTGAGTTTGATGATTTGAAGAGTACGCGAATGCTCATGTTCCCGGTTGAAAAGTAAGACGATGTCCGTCCTAATGCTCATGACGACCATAATGGTAAACACAGCGGTCGGGGCATTCATAGGAAAGCACGGAAGCCATGCCACGAGGCGAAGAAATGGCCTGCGGCCCAGAGAAAAAGTCTGAATCCTGCCAGAACCCAGGTGTCCCATCAGCAGCTGCAGCATCTGGTGCTCTCAGGAGAGCCTCCACCTGCGAAGGCTTCCTGCGACTTCGAGGACGAACTTACGGCGGCTGCGGTTGGTGGTTTGCGCATTTAGGGTTCAGGTCCAGGTTCTGTTGTTCAGGGCACTCCTTTTCGATCCCTATTGAATGTTCTCGTTGAGGTAGCCTCTCCAAGGAACACCATGAGAACTGACCGCGACCGCCTGTCTTGTGCAGTTCAGCATGCGGGGTTATCTTGAGGCATGATGTTGAAGGCTTAGCTTTAGATTTGGCGCGGCTCATGGTCGGCTGTAGGGTGGCGCTAGGACCTGACCGTGCAGCTGCTGCGGAAGCGGCTTGGCGTCCGGGTTTTGGCAAGAGGAGTTGGTCATTGGTGTAAATCCAGCAGTGTGGAAAGTTCTCTATGCGGATCCATAATTCAACGAGCCCGAACCATCCCCGCTGATTGCTTTCTAAGTTTGCTGTTCTCAATCTCTGCATGTTCTCCAGTCATTTGAGCACTTTTTGTGAGGTGGCCTCCTTGTTTAAAAATGCAGCTATCAGAACACCCTAGCCTGACGCTTTTGTCTTGGATGCCAAGCTACCTTAAATACTTTTTCAAACATATACGGCTTCATTCTCCCCTCCCTGTCCCACTTTCTTTACAGCCTCGCTCCTTGCGCAGTTGATTCGGAACCGTTGGTGTGATTGCCGTGGCATGTTGCCTTTTTCGGCACTTGGCAGTTCATGGTCGAAGGACTGCATCGGGATGATGCTGCTGCTGCGAATACTTGCCTGTTCAAGCTAAAGATGCATTGTGCATTGCCAATATGTTCCGGCATTTAGGACTTCCGAAGGTGAAAGCAATAATAAGCGCATACAACAGACAGATGCTAGCTGCGACAAAACCTTAAAGGCAAGTGCAACTAGCGATGCCGCCTGGTGCGGCGCTGCTGAATCGATGCATATTCCAAAAGTAGCGCCAGGACTCTTTCCAAGCTTGGGTTTCTTGTGCAAATTCTGTCTGCACCGTGTTACCAGCAGAAGCACGATGACAGTCATCCAGACACTGACATCCCGGACGGAAACTTTGCAGATGCTAAGCTCACTAAACTATAGCATAGCTTCATTTGCGGAGCGAAAAACTTTCAGCCCAAAGCCTCAAATCCTAATGTTTCGGTAGTGGAGACGCCTGTCTCCGAGATCTCCGGTCGAACGGGTCGTCTGGCCTGACTTGCGTCTACACAGCTGCCTGGTTTTGAGTTCGGCGGGTTGCTTGAGAGGATCCAGGGTTTGGGCCCTAAGCTTGACTTTCTTAAGCTTGCGGGGCTGCGTGCCGAGTCTGAGTCCGGTTGCTTGTCCCAAGCGTTTGTATGAAGGCGAGAGGGGTGAAGCCATAGCAGCAGGAAAGCAATCACATGTCATAACCTTATTCTTCCGAATCGCAGACATAAGACCCAGTTAGCAAACGTGTGTACCGCAGCGGTAACAAATGACAAGGCGGTCGTAGTCGCAAATACCAATGTTGCCACCTGTCATGCCGCTGCTGCCATGGTACCTATTTCGAACGGAGGCACATCGTAAGATATATTCCGAGATGTTGCCTCGAAACTCTCTTTCCCTCCGCGTAACATCACTGCCCCTTGCTTGTTGCAGTTTCCGGAGGCCTTCCTAGCAAAGCTCGAACCCTAATGTCTTATGCCTTGAGCAGGTCGTCATCCTCCCAATGTGTTGAAGCAGCAACACATTGTAATTGCTTCAAGCTGAGAGCATGCAGCAAAACACCTTCGACAGCCCCGAACGTTTGGACCCGGCCGGGCCTGTCAAGGGCAGAGAATTTGGTGAGGTTGGTGGGGCAGCCTTTCACCGGGCGACAGCCGCGATGCCGCGGGCTTCGCACTTTCATATTGTGTCAGACCGCCTTTGGTTTCGTGTTTTCGGGTTTAGGGTGCATTTTGGGTTTGGCCAAGACCTGCAGCAGTAGTAACAGAAAGCCAGGCGAGAATTTGGTGGCCTCCCAGCGCAGTGATAGTCTCCATGGCTCTGTCTGCAAAACTACGGAAGCCCGTGTGTTGCAGCGTTGGTCAGAGCTAGCAGCGGCCAGTACTCGACGCAGCTACTTGGAATGCGCTGTTTTTCATTTCGCTACTCCAACTCGTTCAAGGAAAACTTAACCGCCGAGACCCGATTCCTCCTGCCTGCCTACAGCGAGCGTCTTGACCGTTCATGCCGGGTTGCACGGCGTTCCAGCTCTGCCACTGTCCCAGCCTGGCATGTTCCCAACCCCCAAAACCACAACCATGCACAAGGTACAGGTGATGACAAGTGAGCGACTAGGACTAGGCGTCCTCCCCAGAGGATAGGATGCGCATCGGGGATGCTGTGGGCAAAAGAGCCGGCAAGTGCAAGTGGTGGTTCCGGGGGCCAGAAAGACGCTAGCTGCTAAGAAACCTTCGCAGCTTTACCATGACTGCATCCAACATGGAAGATTTGGCAATCCAAGCCTTTCCACTGACAAGATTGAATTGCGATGAATTGTGAGTTCAGCCCTCCGCGCCACAGAAGGCGATGCACAAGACCTGCACGGCTGTTATGTACACCTAAACCCTAAACAAACCCCAAGGCTAAACCCCTAATCTTTCTTGTCCGAGTTGTGAGAGCGTAATCTTTGATTCAGTACGATGCAGCATCCAATCGAGCGAAAGCCCCAAATGCAGCCTTTCAGGGTTCGCTTCTCAGGAGTTTGCTTCGGCTTCGTGTGTGTGTGTATATATATATATATATGTGTGTGTGTATTTGTCTGTAATTGTATATGTAGATATGTGTATATGTACGTATATAAATGGTATAGGGTTAGTCTGGCATATCCATCCATGCATACATACAGCTGTGGCAGGGCGAGAGGGAAAACTAGATACATACGTACATACATACATACAGACGTGTACGCACGCACCCAGATATAATGCATATGTACCGACATATAGAGAGAGACATATGTATATGCATATGTACATATATATATATATATATATATGCATGTGTATATGTTTATGTATATGCACATGTACATATGTCAATATTTACACATACGGTTCGTACCTATGTGTATGTAACAGTATGTATGTATGTATGTATGTATGTATGTATGTACTAATCAGTTTATATATGTATATGTAATACACATGCAGGTGTACGTACATACATGCAGGCCATATGTGCGTGTGTTTACCTTTAGATGCGCATGTATGTATGTGTATACTACACAGAGGCACGCAGGCAAGACGGTACATAGCTCTGGGAAATAAGAGACTTGATTCTTCAGGCAGCTCACAGATGATGCATGGTTTGTGGCTTGACTACCTCTAGGCAAAGGCACAACAAGCTTATACATCTCACAGAAACTCTGTGTCCTCGTGCGTTGGGATTCACAACAAAGGGTCTGGGCTTTTCAGGGTTTGGGAGCTGTGATCTCCAAGACTTCGAGAGACACGCTCCAACGCGCCTCAGTCAGCTCAGAAAGAAACCCTGTAATCTCAAGCTCCAAACCTTCCTGAAGCCTTGACTGATCGACACCTGGGCCAGGAGTTGGTTAAGAAGATGCCCCGACGGCGGTGGCTAGGGCCCTCAGGGGGTTTTTAGGGCTCATAGAGACAAGAGGGTGTCTTCGACTCGGGGTCGAGCGTTCTCAGCGCTCATGAGGGATGCAGGAAGGGTCTGAAGTTCAGAGGCGCCAGTGTCCATGGGTGAGCGATTTGGGCTTTCAGAGGGTTGAGGGTACAGGATGTGTAGTAGAGACCTTTCGAATGGTTGCATGTTGGGATTCACTGCTACCTGGGCTCGTAGGGCTTCGTGGCTCTCAGGGCTTGCTTGAATTCAGAAGCTCTAGCCCCCGGCTTCAAGACTGCAACATACTGCAACTCTGGTTTTGTTTTCATCTGGCTGGCCAGTCCGCCTCAGAACCCTGAACCCATTCCTCTGTGGGAAGGAGCATGACAAACTCCGAGCCTTCTGTCTTGAAAGTGCAAAAGATGCTGTGTCTAGAGTCTAGGGCATAGACTGGATGCAGATAGGTATGCTTCGGAAAACAACTCGGGTGCTTGTGGCCAGCATGACAAGAGACTTCCCAAGTCTACTGCGACCTCATTCGAAAGCCTTGGAGTAGACTGGAGATGTTTCCGGTTTTGTGCCGCTTCTTGTGTAAGGCTTTGAGGGGGCGGGGCAGGGGCGGGCTATCTGGACGTTCTATGCAAACGTGCGGGGATTACCACGTGTGCTAAGGACGGGGGTAGGGTAGTCAGTTAGCCGTCGGTTTGCGATTTTGTTAGCAAAACCACATCATACAGCAACGCTGCATGATCTGTGTCCCTGTCCGGCGGTTTCTCTCATTAGACAAGCTCAATTCACAAACCCTGCGGTTCAAGCCTGAACTGCCTAAACGACCAGACTCTCCGGAACACACACGTTTCGCCAATTTACCACTATATTAAACTCGGGACCTAAGACTGGTTCCACCACTTTCCCAGGATGAGTGTTCAGGACCTCGTTACCGAGGCCCATCCATGCTTTTAGGGTGGCTTGAGAGGTCTTGGGGCTCAAGCAGCCCGAAACCCCAATGGGTTTAAGAGCCAAGCCCTATCAGAGTGCGAGCGCAGCAATATTGCCGCTTCCTGCCATTTGACCAGCTCGGGGGCGACTGGGTTTTCGTTCGTTTCGAGCCTGCCTAGGACGTGTTAAAAATATGACCCCCCCCCCCCCCCCCCCCCCCCCCCCCCCCGACACCCCCCCCGACACCCCAGGCCCGGCCCTGAAAGCGCACGATCCCGACATGGGCAGAGGAAGCTGAAATCACGCAACGCGCCCTTCACTTCAGCACATTAATGCCCCAGCCTATCCTAGTAACGGATCAGGGACCTTAACAGGTCTTGCACGGCGAAGGATTCCGAAGCCCAGTGTGAATGTCAGAACACAGTAAACGAGCCAGATCGAAAACAAGACCCTGGAAGCCCAAACTTACAAGCTCGTAGTTTGCGTGCGTGGCGGATTGAAATTCGGTGGGAAGACATTACCAGCTTCCCTGATTGACCGCCGGCAGCCCTCAACTGAAAGCCCGACTCGCGAGCCGCATTGGGGACAGTGGGGAGCAGGAAGAGCTGAGATTTTCATTGTCATCGCTCGGACAATGAAAATGATTCGACGGGTGTAATGGCTACGAACACCGTAGTAATAGCTGCCCATTCCTTGCAGGATCTGGGAGCCCTTTGAATCGTTTGGGTTGCAGGGCTCCATCTGGGAGTTTCCGAGAACACTGGACCCTAATATAGTACCCTAAATACTGATAGGATCCCTATTATAAGGACTACAATAAAGGACCCGAATATAGCATCCTAAATACTAATAGGATCCAATTTTTTTAAGGACTACCCCGAAGTTTCGGACGCTCCCATCTGGGTCAGCGAAGCTGAGAGCAGGTGGAGCAGGCGCTCGTCCAGGGCGAGCGACTGGACAAGGAACACAA